AACACTAATTTTGTAAACATTTTTATTAGTAAAAGGGGTGTTTTGAAAAGTTTAAAATTGTTGAAATTTTTTGGGATGTTTCAAAATCGATCAGATAAGACACCCCGAATATGTAACACCTATAATTTCGACAACAATTAACCCGTTATATTATACGACGACAAATCTTAGATAGGTCGTAAAATAACATCTATTATATTTCAATAATAATTGATTGTGTTTAGTTTACAACATTAGGTAGCTCATGAAACAATATCTATTATATATCGGTAAATATTTCTTATTCCAATACTATATTGAATTGAAATTGTATTGGCATATATTATATAAGTCACGACTTATTCCGAGAGATTTTTAGATATATTTATTGTAATTATGTTTAACCATATATATATATATATATATATATATATATATATATATATATATATATATAAGTTATGGAATTTTAATTTCTAAAAATAAAAAAGAAAATGAAACGCGTATATGTATATGTACTGTAAACTAGTTTATAACCCGTAAGAACCACGGTTACAAAATTAATTGAACTTTCATAATAAAAACTTAAAATCATTAATCAATTATTTTAAATAAATTATTAATTAATAGATATTTTTTAGTTATATAAAATTATTAGCGTTGATTTAAATAATTACGTGACTTTATAATCTGTATTAATTTTATTTTATTTTTATTCTAATGTTACTTAATTTAATGTAATTAAAGTGAAAATTTTAAAATTTAAAATTTGAAATGGAGAATTGATAAGTTGTCATATGACATGACATTAATTAGAAAACTTATTAGTATGACACATGACAGAAGGAGAATCAACCTATTTTTTTATTAGAATAATGATATACAAGCTAATTGATTATGATTTTTATAAATAATATCCATTCTATATTTAGTAATATTAAGTTTCCAAACATTATATTAATTCATTATTTATTAATGTATTTTATAAGTTATGGATTAAAATATAAACGTATATAGGATGGAAATTTTTAAACATCTATAATTACGTACGTAACATCTATACATGTATATAACATGTATATGCATATATGTGTATTAAGAATAGTTTTAAATTTAGCTGCAATTCATATTTAATGTTAATTTAATGGAGTGATTCACACAAATTTTGATATGTGTCGATCAAACAAATATACTTGGTGGCTAAGTAAATGGAAATGGATATGTTCAAAAAAAAAAACTAACACATTCAATAAAATAATACTAATAATAATACGTGTTAGTTTTTGGGAGAATGACTAAGCATTCATACTTCCAAACAATAATTATAAATAAATGTGTGGTCTTTATTTTCAATTCACATGTCTCAATCTCAATTAAACCCCATAAACTTCATTTTAGGGTTTCAAACCAGCCTCATTCATCCTTAAACTCAGTAAGACCCTAACCCTAGCCTATCTTTGTGTTTCTTGAGCTTTTGGTGGAGTTTTGGAGGTTTGAAGAGGAAGAGATCACCATGGAAGCATAATTTTAGCTTGGAAGTTTCATTTGCAACCTGTAGCTACACTTTTGGACCAATGTGAGTAATCAAGATCCAAGCTTTATGCTTCCTTGTTGTTAGATCTAAGGTTTATACATATTTATCAAAGATCTTTAGAGTTAGAGTGTTGGGACTCCATAAAGTTGGCAACTTTATGGGTCCTTAGGGTCCCTTGGTGCTTGTATGTCATAGATATGAAGTTTTGAGGATGTTTGAGTCCATGCTTGAGAATTTATCTTCTTTTTCTCCATGAATGACCTAGTTTGAGCCCAAGTGTTGTATTGGACATACAATACCTTAAAGCATCAGTTTTTATGATCCTTGGAGTATTAGGAAGCCCCCTGGAAAAGATGGATTAGTGGCTTAATGGATTAAGAAGCTTTTGGATCAAAATGGCTTCCAGACTGATCTAACGACGTGAGGAGATGCATGTCACATCGTGAGGGTTGTGAGAATCGATTATTTTTTCATGTAGTGGCTCACGACGTGAGCCATAGATGGTCACGTCATGAGGACCGGTCTGTTGACTTCCGTTGACCATTGAATTTTTGACCAAGTTTGACTTTGGTTCAAACTTGAGGATTTTGGGCTATTGATTGAGATTCTATCTGGTTCTGGTGTTAGTGGACTCACGGGAGCAAGCAGTGCTGAGAAAAGGATCGTATCGCAGTGTTCAGAGTTCTTCGATTCAGGTGAGTTTCGCCTCATTGTACTGTAAGTCGAAGGCACCAATGTCGACCTACTAGTTTTGGTTATCTGTCAGTAGAGGGATGCCTTAGGGACTGTATATAATCATGTAGGGTAGACTCAAGGCTCTTGATCTAGGCTCTTTTACCTGTTCCTTGTTTGGTTGTGGTTCTAGAGTAAGATCACTTGTTCGGGTGACTATCTCACCTCTGAGTATATACGGTTAGGCATTCCTTGGATTGTTGGTAATTAGTATGTTGCTATGTTGTAGTATGTATCTTGGTATTGAGTATGCTGCCATGCTGTAGTGACCTATTAGATCTGTATCCTGGTATCGAGTATGCTGTTATGCTGTAATGAACTGTTAGATTTGTATCCTGGTATCGCGTATGTTGCGTTGCGGCAGTGATCTATAGATATGTATGTCTATCTGTACTTGCTAGTTATCATCTAGTGGGGTGCCCTAAGGACTGTCTGTGGTCATGTAGGATAGCCTGAGAACTCTTGATATAGGCTTTCTTGCATGTTCCTTGTGTTGGTTGTGGCTTTAGAGTAGGATCATCTGTTCGGGTGGCTATCTCACCTCTGGTCACTTATGGTTACGCATTCTATGGAGGTTACCTGGTAGCAGGAATGTATGTTGTGAGAGGACTAGTAGGCGGTAGTGAGCTGTATGAATGATGTTTGCATGCATTATGTGCCTACCTGATCCTTGATTGTTTATATGTCGACATATGGTAGTAGTGGGTTGAGGCGATCCTGCTTTGTGCTGTAGGCCAAGATACCCGGTACGGGCCGACTGTAAGCCGTAAGCACGGAGGCTTTGGTAGAGCGGTTGGGTTGAGGCGGTAGGCCAACAAACCCTAGGTATTCCAGCCCGTTGGCTGAGTGGACCCGATGCATGTTTATATGTTTATCGTATGGGATGTTTTGGGGAAAACTCACTAAGCTTTGTGCTTACCCAATTGTTTATTGTTTCAGGTATCATTGGTCATCATGGGAAGACGAAGGCGTGACTGTACACATTCATCAGCAACAATGAAGATTCCCGTGCTTTACTATTACTTTGATTTTTAATATATGTATCTGAATTAAACGTTTTTCTTCATAATGAATTTATAATTGGGAAGTTTTACTTTAACAGAAATGAAAATTTTTGGTTGTGAAAATGGGACGTTACATTTTCACAACCAAGTTTGATACTTTGGATTTGGCAAGTTTGAATTATACACTTTGTCCTTTTGAACAACTCTTTAAACATAGTAGGAGTTTTCTTGAAGCTTTGTTTCCATGTTGGAAATAAAAGAAGTGGTTTGGAATTATGGTAGAGACAAGTATTTGGGTCCAGATAGGTACTCATTTGATTTCATTAAAAGGTCTCGAGATATATTGGAATATGATATTGTAGACTTTCCCACAACTTTTATATAGACATGCCTATTCTTGACTGTGTGTAATTAGTTGTTTATAATTATGATTCCTAAAAGTTTTTTATTCTTTATATGTGAAACACTTTTAACCTATCAGCCTAATTGCTTAAGGTACTTGATGAGATCGTTGGTATTAAGCCATAAACCTTCATAAAAAGTCAAACTCCATTGATTGTCATCGGGATAATTGATTGGTATAAAGTGTCTCATAAGAAGTTAATGGTGTTCAAAATTGATGTCGAAAAGGATTATGATTCATTAAGTTGGGATTATTTAGAAGACATGCTTGAAGCCATATGATTATATATATATATATATATATATATATATATATATATATATATATATATATATAGGATGGGGGGGGAGGATGAATCAAATATATCTTTCTTATTATGTGGCGTCTGTTCTAATAAACGAGTTTGCCTATAGACGAGTTATATGAGTTATTACTATTTTCTGTTTTATTTATTATGCCAATAGATGGGTTGAATTTTATGATGAAGAAAGCTATTATGCTTGGTTTCTTTAAGCGAACTACAACCATTGACACACGAGGTTAAAGTTCAAACTTCGACACATTCAAAATATTGTTAGTGTTTCATGATTGACCTCCCATATAAACCTTGAGATGAGTTTACGTTGACCATTCAGATGATGCTGTTTACCATTTTTAAGCCAACTATAGTGACAAAATTAGAGGTAGTGATATTGCACTTTTTCTATGTTAATGATGTTATTTTCATGGGAGAATGCTCAAAGGATAATGCGATCATTCGTATTTTGCATATTTTTTAATTTCATCTCGAAATTAAAAATTAATCTTAAAAAAAATGATATTTTTGGTGTTTGGTGTCCCATTTGACAAGGTTGAAAAACCATGATTGATCGGTTCTTCAATAATTTATTTTTTAAAAGGTGAAAATGTTATTTATTGGTGCTCGTCTTTTAACGTTTATGAAGTTAATCTTTGGAACCTTGGTATTTATTTTTCACTAATATATTACATAGAGTCCAAAAAACTTAGATAAATTTGAGTTGAATACTCGTGAGATGTATTCGACTCGTTGTTTGTTTTTTACATACCGAACTTGATAAAATTTAACCTTAGACAAGGTCTAACTCAAATACCTAATAAATGCTCAAATGGTTTATATGTTTATCAAATTAGTTATAATGTCTCTGTCTCAACAAAAAAATAACATAATTTTGGTTAATAAATAGAATAAAAAAGTAAAATATGCTAATGTTTTATTTTTTAAACAAAAGGATATGTGTAAAATAGAAATTAACATGTCATTTTACATAAACTAAAACAATAATATGGAGAGAGAGAGGCATAAAATGAAATTATAAAAGCGAAAGAGGGGTATTGACGAATGAAATCAAATGCGTTTCAATAAAACCACCAAAAAAACCCCACGAGCTTCAGACACATATACTCTCACGACTTGAACGAACGAAGAAGAAGATCGCGACTGTGTGTAAACACCGATCACTTCTTTACATCACTTCATCGATCAATCACTTTCGGTATAATCCATTGTCTCTTAACTTTAATCGATCATGCGTATCGATCAATTTCAATCGTCAATTTTGCTTAATTTGAAGTACGAATCGATTTTTCACTCCGGAGGTTGTCATTAGGGTTGAACGTTTTTCATGATGTTAAATGAGTGTGTATGTTGGTCGATTTGATCTTCGGATGACGTGAATTGTTAAATTTTTAGGTTTAATCTGTTGCGCTACAGGTTAGATATGGCAAATGTGAAATGTAAGCTGAGGTTTTGAGTTTATTTCATCGATTTTAAGCCAGGTAAATCCGATGAGGAAAAATTTATTTTTAGGTTTTTTGAAAGGGTTAATATAGAGCTCGGCAACAAGAAAATACACAAAATGTTGTGCCTTTTTTTATTCATAAAAAAGAACAATCATTTGGCTCTGGAACGCAAAACATCTAATTTTTTATCTGATGTTCGACTTTTTAATTTCTGAGAAAGCTAATAGCCATAAACTACAAATGAAAAAACTTGGCTATTAAATCTGTGATAGATTTAGGAGGCTTTTTCCATTTAGAATATGTACTAAGCTCAGCATGAGAAGTCAGATATAGCTCCTGGTGGAAGGAGTACCACTTATGTTTGCAGCATGTCTTCCAGTCATGGGTTGTTTCTCCTATGAAGGACATTAAAATGGAATGTTAATTGGTTAATGCATCATCGTAATGGTTTCAACGTCAAGAACTAGTTTCTTATAGTTTTAATAGTTATAATGTGTTTTTTCCACTTTTTTCTTCTGATTCTGACATATAGATTTACTGTGGTTGTATTTAGTTGTAAATAGTCTGATGATGCCTATGTGGTATAACTTTAGTTTACTTGCAAATCGTGTGAAATAGAGTATAGCTTCACTGTTTTATTACATATTATATTGAAAGGTGCAATCTTTTTAAAAATTTCAGAAATTCAGTTGCTGTTCTGAAATGCTAAATTTTCTTGACATGTCTATCCAATGTTTTGGGCTTTGGCCAATACATTAGTTGTTTTTGTGGGTTTCTTAGTTTGTTTGCATACAAGCTCTTTCTAAAATACATGTTCCAAATATTATGGTTCAGGGTTTAGAATTTATTTCAAGATTCGATAATTTTCGTATGTCGGAAACATTTATGTTTCATAAAGTAGTTGTGAACATATCTATTTTTATTTGGCAAGTGGTAATTCTCACGTGCTCGTACCTCGAAGGTCACCCCAAATCCAAATTTATGCAAGTTTTTATTTTTAAGGTAACAAAAGTCATAAATATTTGATCCTGGCATTTATATCCTGATCACGAAACGTGCAACACATTGTAACCTAAACAATCTAGTAATATCCACGTGCCTCTAAATTGTGTATTGTTTCTTTGATCCATCCTTTTCTTTAATTAAATAATGTTATCCTGCCACATTATATAAGTTTTTGTATAGCTTTGTTAATTCCCAATCATTTCTTCTCTTTCTTATTTCAGAGATAGTGCTGCTGCTAAAATAATTCCCAACCAATAAGACAAGAGACGAATGATTTGATGCCATTTGTCTTGAATTTCCTCAACAATGTCCGGGATACTTAATGTATTTTCTGTTCTCCATTCTTATCTTTGTTCTTAATATTTCTTTCGCCACTTCACACTCGTGCATTACTCTCTTAATTTATTCATTCATGAAGTCATATGAACTTTTGTTTGCAGTCAGGTGTTAATGGGTCAACATCAACTTTTCCAGATGCCACTGGAAGAGCTTTTACATCAGCATTTTCTGCTCAATTAGGTTCATCTGCTGCTGATATGAACCACACTGATGCAATAGGTGCACTCAAAATTTAAAATTTTGTACTTTTCAGTTATGGGATCCCTTTATACTCACTTGGTAAAAGATTTGCTAGGATTACGAAGCATGAATGGGAACTTCAACATTCCCAGCATGCCTGGAGCATACACTTCAAGAAATTCAGGATTAAATGGTCCTTTGAATGGTGTACAACCACCTGCAGGAAGTTTATCTAATGGACGATATGCAGTAAATAATCTTCCTGTTGCACTTTCTCAGGTATTATAATCTTGAAACACATTGTCAATTCATTACTCACCATCTCTCTTTTCTCTCATCTTTAAAACACTCTGTTTACTATTAGTGTATCTTAAATTTTCTATTATATTTGGGATTATTCTCATGTACACAAAATTTTCATGTGTGCTTCATGAAGCAATCTGCTGCTAGCTCACTTGGACTTTCAGGGATTACAAATAATGGAGGTACACAGTTGTACTGGGTCGAGTAAAACATGATTTATATATTGAAATTTGTGCTATCAAATATTCAAATGTATAGTTCCATTCTTTAGTTCCTCATTTCTTGAAGAGTATGATTTCAGGGTCAGGTTTAGGTCAAAGTTTAGGAAACAGAGAACAAATTATAAGCTCCATGGCAATGGGTAACCTTGTTAATGGGGGCAACATTGGAAGAAGTTTAAGCTCTGGCGGACTCAATATGCCTGGGGTTGCTTCTCGCCTGAATCTAACTGGTAACAGTAGATATGTTTTACATTCTTGTAGATAAATCATTTTATTTAATTCAAAAGAGTAACTTGGTGTGTTGTTTGAATGACACCTGGCACTTTAGCACCCCAGATGGTGTCTCTGCTAGGAAATTCATACTCTGGTGGCGGTGGGCCACTTTCACAAAATCAATTTCAAGGAGGGAATAGTCATTTAAGTTCAATGGCATTGTTAAGTGAGCTCAATCGTGACCATTCTTTTGACATGAATGATTTCCCTCAGTTATCTGGGCATCTTACCTCTGCTGGTGGTTCTCAAAGACAACTAGGTATTATTATTATTATTATTACCTTTTTGGTTAATCTTTTTTTATTGCTGTAAAGAGGGCACTACAGTAATATTGTTGGTTTTTACTGTGCAGGGGGGTTGGCACGCAGGCAGAATGTGGGATTTATGCAACAAAATCAAGAATTCAGCATTCAAAATGAAGATTTTCCTGCTTTACCTGGATACAAAGGTACATTAGTCATCTTATCTATTATGATCCTTGAAAATATAAGTTACTAATGATGTGATTTCTAAATAGAAGGATGAAATGGTCATTTACTCAGATTCAGACAGTTTATTCAGTCCAGAAAAGAAACAGTCTATGCATATAGCGCTTTATTCACACAGGCATCACTTTATCTATACTTGACTTAATGGAAAAAAGAAAAGAAAAAGAAACAACCTTTAATTTAGTAAAGAGGAAGGATAGCTTAGTTTTGGTCAATGTGCTGACCTGGCAGAGTCTTACGTGTATTAAAATGAGAGAAAGCTCCAAAATTTACCGACAACGAATACTCCACGTGTTTATTTGACAAAATAAAATTTATAAATTCTACCAACCTCACCGACTCACTCACAGACTTAAAATCTTGATTGTTTCTTCTTTTTCTAGAGCACTTCACCTTCCTCATTTTGAACTCCATTTGGGGAAATTATAATCCAAGAATCTCTTTCTTTCTGTCGATTGTTTTGAGTATTATTGTTCTGTGTTCTATCTGAAAACATGGGAGGTATGTTTTTTTTTTTTTTTATTTATTTTTTTTATTTATTTTTTATGTAATCATAATCAAATATAAAAAAACTAGATTCTATTTATATGAATCATATTTACCACATCAGATTTCATCTTCCCTAAAATGTACATCCGATTTATATACCGCTTTTGCTTATATTGAATAACAACTATTTCTGTAAAGATTTGAGGTATCTTTGGATACAGTTGTTCTAGAAAAGCTGCAACTTTTTTAATTTGTTGCTGAAGTTGCTTGGTTTTTAATTTCTCATAAAATGGTTTGTTGAATTTTCTATAAACTCTCAAAGCTTGATCAAGATTCAAGAGTCAAACCTTCATGTACTTAATACTTAATAGGGGATATTACATTCTACTTTATGTTTACTAACAGCATGCGATCTAAATTTATAGATCAATTAAATTTTTATCTTCTTTATTTTTGTTGTTGTTGATGATATTATTGTCGTATGAAGTCTTCCAATATATTTTTGTTCTCACGGAATGTGATTCTTTCTCCTGGGCTGAATTTCATTCCATTCCTTGATATATTTATAACTATTAATTACTTTAATTTATTCAATATTCAACAACACGAATCCTTTCCAAAAACTAAATAAAACTTTAATTAAATTAGTTTTAGTCAGTTTCAAACAATAACTAAAAATATTATTTTATTGTAATTCTATTTTGAGATTTCATGGTATTTAATCTAATTTAAAGTTTTAGTTTTGTGATTTTTGTGGCGATATCTTTGTATATGATTTTTGTAGCGATATCTGGATATTTGATAAAAGTTCAATTTTATAAAATTCTGTTCCTGTATTTATTTATCAATTTAATGCCATTTACTTTTCCAGTTGTACTAAAAAACAAAATGTTTGAATGACTCATTCCATTCCCTCAAGCCAACCAAACATAATAATGGAATGTAATGACCATATTATTTTTTATTTATAAAAAAAGTTATGATGGGTTTTTTCCTATGACAGGTGGCAATGCAGATTTTCCGGTTAATATGCACCAAAAGGAACAACTTCGTGACAATGTGGTGTCCATGATGCAATCCCAACAACATTTGCCTGTACAAACTTCATTTATTATTAATAAAGCAAATTTAATAAACTAGGCAAGAAATAATATTTTATTATTTTTTATTCCCAGGTGGGAAGATCAGGTGGATTCAGCTTGGGAGGTGCATATTCATCACATCAACAACAGCAGCATGCTCCAATAAACGGTGGTGGGGGTGGGCCCTCCTACCTTCCTGCAAACACTCAAGATCTCCATTTTCATGGCTCTGAGGTGGAGTTTATAACTAATACAGCTTCTGGTTGTGTTTTATGGTAAAATCCATCAAACTCATATCATATGACACTATTTTTTTTTTCAGGCAAGGAACAGCGGGATGCTTCCAACGGGATCACGACCCGTGAGTGTATCGGGTGGGTCCTACGATCAACTGATGCAGCAATACCAACACTTCCAAAAGCAATCCCAAATACGCCTAGTCAGCCCCTTCAGAGACCAAGATCTAAAATCCCCTCAACCATCACAATCCCCTGCTGACCGATTCGGTTTACTTGGTTTACTAAACGTAATCAGAATGAACAATCCCGATTTAACCCCTCTTGCTCTTGGAATCGACCTCATGACACTCGGCCTAAATCTAAATTCACCCGATAATCTTTATAAAAAATTCTCATCTCCATGGTCCGATGAATCCGCTAAAGGAGAACCTCATTTTTCCATTCCCGAATGTTTCAACACCAAACAACCAGCTCCTTTAAACGTAATCTTTTTTTATTTATTTTATAAAAATGGCTACCTTAACGGATCTGATTTCTATTTTTTTTTTTGTATAAAAATGCAGCAAGATAGCTTCTCTAGATTTTCCCCGGAGACTTTGTTTTATATATTTTACAGCATGCCGAAAGACGAGGCCCAGTTGTTTGCTGCAAATGAACTGTATGTACTTTTTTTTTTTATTTATAAAATGTGAAATATAAAAGAAATGAAAGTAGGTTGGTGTAATGAGAAATTACATTTGTTTTGTTGCATGCAGGCACAATAGAGGGTGGTTTTACCACCGAGAGTTGCGTTTATGGTTCTCAAGAGCTCCAAACATTGAACTCTTAGTCAAAACAGCTACTTATGAAAGAGGTTGTTATTACTGTTTTGACCCCAACACCTGGGAAACAATTCGAAAGGTTCGTTCGTTCCTTCCTATTTTAATTATTATCTAGTTTTTAAATCTTTACTTTATATTATAAGGGTTAATCTCGTTAATGGGTAATCAACTATCTTTTTTTACAAAATCACTATTGTTCTAAAAAAACCAAATAGTTTGTTACCCATTTATGACATTAACCCGTATTATCAATCAGCAAGTATTCAACATAATATATAATAGATTAAGTTGTTTTGAGTCTAAAAATAAGTCTTTTTTTTATATTTATTTTTGGTCCTTATTTCAAAGTTTCGTTTTGGTTTTGGTCTTGGTTCTTGTGCCGTTAAATGTAACTAGTCAGCTGTTAGATTTTTTTTTAAAAAATGACCATTTTGCCCTTGGACCAAACTCTAATCCACATGGACCACATTTGTAATCTACTCATAATTTTAGGCCAAATTCCGTAAAACTGCTATAGTTTGTTTTTTTGCTCTAACCACTGCAAGATTTTTTTTTCCTGGTTTAACCACCAAGTTTTTATTTTATTTTTTAATGTAAGGGTTCCCTGGCAATGAATTGCTAAAAACTACATGAAGAATAATATTTTTCTAGTTAAAATTGTTTTTTTCAATACATTCAATGTTTTTTATGGTTGAAACGAGCAAATTCTGAACTATAGTGGTTTATATAGAATTTAAAGCTCTATGTTATGTAGTGTTTAATAAAAGCAAAACTCTCAATGGTGAAATCAGAAAAATATTCTTTAGGTGGTTAAACTGAAAAAATTACAGTGGTTTTTATGGAATTTGGCTAGTAATCTTATTGTCAAAATATTTTAATATGTTGAAGTGTGGATTTAATTTCGTATATAAAATTTAATAAATAAAGTTATGAGTAAATCACAAATTAGAAAATAATTTAGAAATAATAGAATAAATATTTAAATCACATGTTTGGTCCCTTGTGGTATACTGTCTTTTTTGAGTTTGGTCAAGGGACAAAATGGTAATTTAAAAAAATCCAACAGCTGAGTAGTCACTTTTAACGACACATGTACCAAAAATTTAAAGATATACATTTTTGGACCCAAATCAAAGAGAATTTCAAACCACAAGGACCATTTCTAGAAATTTCTCTTTATAAATTTATATAACAAGTTTCTGATTTGCAGGACAACTTTGTTGTGCAATATGAAATGGTGGAAGACAGGCCGGTGGTCCCGCGTCGTTAGCAGTTTGTTTGATTTGAAAAAAAAAAGTTGATGAGTTAATGAATTATGAATGGTTTAGAGGTTATATACTAAAGGACTAAAAAAGTAAGTAAATCCAAATGTGGGTGCATAATGGAAGAAGGGTAAAAGTTAGAAAAATTGTGTTTAAAAAGATGATGTTTGTGTTTTTAGATTCCGACTCTCTCCTGGTTATAAACCTGTTTTAGAAATGACAAATATATGTTGTACTTTAAATTTAAATCTTTGGTTTATCGTTGCTTTCATGCTTTACAACTTGTACATCATGCATTACCGGTTGAAATTTCCATAACTTGCATTATTTTGGTTAAGACCTAAGAATAAATATCATTTTTTTATTTATAAATTTGGTCCTTGTTGGACTATCATAACGATTGTGTGTCTTGGGCTCGAGTTAATATTACATTTTTAAAATTTTGAGGGGTGAGTGTTGGGATCTCCAAACTGAAAATCACCTCACTGGTACTTGTACCGGTTTACAAGAATATGTTTGGTTATTGCTTCATTTGACAGTGCAAATTTGGTCTGGTTTTTTTAACAGGTCGGTTTGACAGGTTCCGGGTATTGGAACGGAATTTTAAAAGGCTCGATACATTGTAATTTGTGAAATTTTTTAAAAAATATATCTCATTTGTTTGAAGTGAGATTAATATGAGATTTTTTTCTAACATGTAGTTTAGAATTTGTATTTGAGTTTAGGTTGTAATTTTATCATTTTTAGTTCAATACTCAATGAGTTAAGGTCCCATGGAGTCGGGATATCAAAGCCGGAAGATTTTTAGCTTTTCAGCTAATGTTTCAATGATTTTTACCATATAGAAACTGGCCCGATATGCCTCCACACGTCTGATCTACGGTCCACACTTTTCCTTTAAGTCAGTTTCCGATGAGTGCTTTGAGAGAGAGAGAGAGAGAGGTTTTGGCATCGACCTCAATGGTAGAAGGTGGTGGAAGGATGGTGTCGTAGATATAGCCAGTAACTTCTGATAGGAAAGGAGTGGAAGAACTTTATTTCATTATTAAAGGTAGTTAGAGGAGGAGAGTTTGATACTTGACATGTGTATAAGAGTAGAAAGAGGGAAAGAGATTTCAATACTATCGCCGACAGCCATGGAGAAGCGAGGGATGTGCGGCGGTGGTAATAGGCAAGGTTCTAAATGGCGTGAGCTGTCGCTTGGCGGCAAGGTCAGTCCTAAGCCTTGACGAGCCATCACATTTTTCAAGGAATGATAATTTTATATACATTAAAAAAGATAAATCATATAATTATAGAATTATATCAAATATATCAAGTTTTTTGAAGTGTTATATTATCATTTTTAATATAATAAAGTCAACAAAAACTCAATTTGTTTTAGATCCGATCACAAAAGAAACAAAAAAACCAAAAACCAAAAACAAAAATCGTGCACCTTGAAAAAAACTCGCGCCATAACGCGCGCCTTGACATGTTATTTGGCCGTCATACAACCCCGTCGTTTTCGTAATGGCTATACCCATGGCGGATCTAAAGAGGAGCTTGGGGGGGGGGGGGGGTAGGTGCCCCATTGATCTAATAGTTTCTACATAGAATGAACTGAAAAATCAAGATCTGTTTGTTTTTTTTTTTTTTTTTTTTTTTTTTTTTTTTTTTTTTTTTTTTAAATAAGTGCTGCCCTCAACGGCTCAACCACATGAAAGGCAGGTGCACTCCAAAAAGCTGAACATCATGAATCTGACTTTTTTTATTCATCAGCATAATTGCATAAAACTTGTTGGATTAGAAAAGATAATGATCAACTTCGTGTGGAGAAAGATTTGAACAAGAAACACGGGGTGGGGACGGAAAGATCTAGATGCGGTGAAAAGTATGTGGGGGTGGATGGAAGACGTTTTACCTCTAGGATTCCATAAATGCCCTTTGTAAGGTTTGCTTGTATTTGGCTCTCTTTGACACTTCCATCCTTTTTCTATATTTCAAGCAAGTTCAGTTTAAGCTTCAACCAAATTTATTGCTCGGTGATTTTGAAAATCCGAAACTAGTATATATATATATATATATATATATATATATATATATATATATATATATCTATATATATATATATATATATATATATATATATAAAGTGTAAAATGTGTGTAAAGTGCCTACTTTGCTGTGCAAATTACATATGGTATGCATGAAAGTTTATTTTTTATGTGGAAATTTTACAGAATATTTCAATAACATCTGGCCCGACCACGACCAGTGTTGTAAAAATTGGTCTAGGAAACCGATTAATCGACGTCTAGATGCTAGGCAGTCTCTAACTATTTTAAGATTTATGCTAATCGGTCGTATTAATCGGCCTTGATCCTAGTCGGTCCTAATTGACCCTAATCGCTCTGGTCAATAAAATTAAAAGGTCAAAATTAATAAAAAAGTAAAAAAAAAAAATTAAAAAAGGACAAGACAAAAATGAAGTCAACGATTAGCCCGACCCGATCATATATTTGACAACTAGGGCCCCATGATGAAAATTCCTGGATCTGTCACTGGCTACACCAGTACACCACGCCTTGACGACACGCCTTTTAGAACCATGGTAATAGGGTATACACGAGGGTAGGATCAATATTATACTAATACCATGTAAGGTTTGGTAAAATCACCACATAACTTATAGCCTTAAGGAAATTAAGAGACGATAATTACACAACAAATTTCCTAATCTATAGAATAAATAACATCTCTAAGAACTGGTGTGAGATATATCGTTACGATATACAAAATGATTGAGTTCTATGTATTTAAAAGTTCCTCATCACAAACATAGTCAACGACATTAATATTATACATAGAGAAAGAGAGAATTGGACCGGTCCATGATAATTCTCCATACAAGGATCTACAATACCATAAACTAAAGCATGCTTGAACAACAAACGAGAGCCAACAAGATGATAGAGAGGAACCTCTTTTATCTCATTACTGAAATGGAAGCTGAAAAACAAAATCATAAGAGTAACAATAAGATACAAATCCAGTGTGAGAAGTGCCAATTTTTTTTCATGGTCAAACTTGGAGTATGAAGGAAGCTTGATTTGTCTTTGCGATATCAACCAGATTCAGATGTTGGATCTTGGTTTTGTTTATCTTTCTCAAAGAACTTATCATGAAAACGATTTGGGAATTGTAAACCTGGAGTTCGTACAATCTCTCCTCCTTCCATTGGTTGCCACCTGATTAAGTTTATTAATTAGTCTATATCTCTTTTTTTTGTCCCTCTTGCTTGTTTATGTATTTGTTATTTATCTTTACCGATATTTGGTTAATTACTAGACAATGAAGAAATATAGACATCTGAGGATGGGTGATCGGCCGATGGATTGAGACGTCGTTCTCAACGACGGGGTTACGTTCTTCCAGCCTCCTGTGGTTGAGAGAGGGAGGGTGTTCTCCATATCAGTTTCTGCCGCAAGGGGGTATCGTTCGATTCGTAGTGAATCGTTTCCGTCTTTCAACAAGGGAATGTTTGAGACTCGACCGTTCTTTTGGTTTGGTGGTCTAGGTGAAGACCATGTTGCGAGTCGGTTATGTGACACAATTTTGAGAAGATTGAGCATATTCGAGGAGGATTGAGATGTTTCTGATTCAGAAGGGAGAGTTCTATTGATATGCTGAGTTGACGGAGCGATTATTTGAATACATGTATGAGATTCTTGAACTTTAGAGGAGGATAAGGTTCTGGATAAATTCTTTTTATGCAAGTTTTCGTCGCACAAAGTTTAGTTTGTAAGGTGCCTCGTCGATCTAATGGTATTATGACCGACTTTGCTAAGATTGAGGTGACAATATTGGGACAGTTTTCGATGTCTCCATCTAAAGATCAGAGTTTCTTTATGATTGTTTGGTGATTATTCGAAGGATCATCATATGCCATACTGCATACCGATAGTCATAGTTGGCGTGTACCTGACTTAGCTGGTCTGAGGCTTTGGGATCGCATATATCATTCGAAGATAGTTTTAACCCTAAGCAGGAAAGGAATGAGTACTTGATTAAAGATTATCAGATGGTTTGATTATGGTCTCAGAATAGTGAATAAGAGGAAATATGTGGTGCAAAAATGCAAGATTTTGGTTCGGGTATGCTATGACATAAGAGAAGGAAGATGGGCTACCATCAAAGTGCTCAGAGTTAGGAAGTTCTCGTCACGTTCTCAAGGCTTCATCAAAATCCTTCATGGTTACAAATAATTGAGGTTTGGTCAGACCGTGAGTGCAGAGTTAGTTGCCATCAGGGATGTACGTGTTGTCATCACATCGGAAGCTATTAGACGAAGACCCCTTCGTGACCCGTAGTACCTTTCGAGGACTTCGAAGATTAGGTTAAGAGGCGCTTGAGCCGATCGAGTTGAATATCAGTTGTTGAAGGATTGGTTAGCTCGCTGTATCGACCACTATCTATAGTAAGGAAGAGCGGTTGTTGATCTATCAACCAACTTCAGAGTTTGGTATGTGTATTTTCACATTGGGCTTTGTTCAGAAGTAAGTTGATCCATTGGGTTGGTTATCTATCCATGTTTGATAGTTGGTTACCTCGTTTATTGTCTTTAGTTGAAATTGTTCGAAGGTTTTGAGTTGTATCGGTTGAAGGTTTGTGCGGTGCGTATCGCGTGTGTACCGTAGGTTGTTTAGTTATGGGATTTTTGTTTCCCGCAAGCTCGGGTTGGTGGTTGTCTTGGATAGTGAAAATTTGATACTGCAGCGTCATTGATCAAGGGTGACATTGGGACTACACAAAGTTTAATTCGTGATGTCATATCTAAGGGTTTGGTTGTAACACCCAGCCAATCATGTATTTCCCTTTCTGGACCCAAAGTATCATTTATTGCAAAATAGGTCCTTAGGCCCTGCGTACTTAGGGCGTACGCTGGGCATAAGCCTTTAAAAATGTGACACAGATGCATGCGAGTACACAGGGTGTACTCATGGGTACATAGGGCGTACTCGTTAGATGAACAACCCAAATTTTTAGGGTTTGATCCCTATATAAGGTCATTATCTGCCTTGAGACCTTCCCACCTTCAGCCTCCATTCTCCCATTCGACTCCTTGCAAACCCTAACCATCATTTGTGAAGTATTGAGCTCATTTTGGTGTTTGGTGTTCATCTTTGAAGGAGGGAAGTGATTGGAAAGCTAGTGAGAAGTTTCAAGCCTTGTGTATCTGAGTTTTTCACCTTTCAAGGAACCTCCAGAAGGT